CGGTTCAGAGAGGTGGAAAGTAGCTGCCCGCAGGAGCTGCTTGGGTTTGAATGACCGTTGCTGCGGGCTCCTGAACACAGTCATCGATTTTTTGAAGACCCTTGCGGGTTTGGTCGCAGCCAAAGTAGGAGCGCAGTCGGAAATAGACTTTTGGCGGCTTTGGGTCAGGGTTTTGGCCCTGGCAGGCTGCTTTGGGGTCAGAGTCTTCCGGTTTAGGGGTCTGGTTCAGGCTCTCTTCGCTTTCCGGGCTTGAGGTCTTAAAGCAACTCCTATAATTCGGCCTTGCTTCAAGTCCTCTTGGACCCTTAGCATCTTAAGCCTTTGCCTAGAAGCCCTAACGCCCAGCTTGAAAGACCGAAGCTTTCAGATCCCTGAACCCTAAACTCAAAGCAAGGCCGAGATCCGCGCAGTAAAGCTCAATCTCGACAAGGCCGGTCGGCTCTCTGGGAGATTGCTGGCACGCGGTCCATGCAGCTTGGGGGTTTCGAGTGTGTAGGGCCTAGAGGAACTAGGGGTGTTGGTGTGGTTGGGCTTTGGGGCTTGAGTGTGTTAGTTTCGGGGGTTTCAGATTTGGCGGCTCGCGGGCGTCAGGGCCTGGGGGGGGGTAAGCTTAGGTTGTCGGACGTCGGCATGCGAGGCATCACTTCGATCGTCGCGAGTTGTTTGGGGAGTCTCATGCTGAACCCGACAACCTCCAGAGAGAGAGAGAGAGAGAGAGAGAGAGCCCGAACCCGAGCTGCTGTGGTTTATGGCCGAAATCCAACCAAGCCTGATGCTCTACACACCCGACCCCAAAGCAAGAACAAACGGAGGCGCGATAAGGCATGGCGATGATAGGAAGACTGAATAGAGGAATTTGAGCTGTGCGATGAATATGATGACGCTGATGATGAACACAGTGCTACTGAGTATTACGAACTGGTTCTTACTACCATGAATAGTATTGGTCGTGGTCGTGGTGGCGGTGGCGGTGGCAGCCGGCACGGAGCGGAGCAGCAGTAGAGGAATTATATAATGTTAAACGAATTTCATAAGGCACAAACACTTGGCAGGTCGCCGAGGAGGCCAA